TTTAAAATTTACAATTAAAAATAAATTTTAGATATTTATATAGTCATATAATATTTTATTAAATTTAAATGAGAAATTTTTAAAAATTAACTTTTTCTAATCATATAAACATGACATGACATTCTATTTTAGACAAATTAAAAGAAAAGTGTGAAACAAAAATTGATACATATATATATATACACACACTTGTGATCATAAACTAAAGATATATATAGAACATATATTTCAAAAAAAAAGAATTGTTCAAACCTTATAAGGAGTCCACTCATCTTATTAACTATTGATGTGATACTTTTGTCAATCTTTAACATATATGTTTACTAGTATCTCAAAGTTTATGAGTTATTCTAGATGAGGGAGTAATAAATAACGTTAATTAGAATGATTAATAAGTGAGAAATAAATATGGTAAGACAAGATTGGGGTCACGTGTATTAAAGATGAGTATTTGAATAATGTAGTTTGTCAGAAGGTGTATTTCAGTAGAGTTCCATCAATCATATCCTCTGAATTCATTGTCATTTCGAGATCATCAAAGAATCATATTTTACAACTTTTTCTTTTCCATCGAATGAAATCCAACATCTTTCTGCTACCATTTTACATTATCTGTAAAGTCAGTTTTCTTGTTGCTTAATGCTACCCCTAAAAGTAACACTAGTCTTTTAATTATTATACATTTATAATTGATCGACTTTTATCTAAGATGACAAGTTTCTAAAGAAAATGCATGTTTCACTTTGTGGGAGTGGCTGAATGATAGTGGGACATGACTTTTTTCACTATGCTATGCTTTTCTTTATTGTTATAGTAATAAGTTATGACAGTTTCAGCTCAATCATAGGGGTCCGCCCTGAGAGATTAGACTGGCTCAACGGTTAACCTCATTTGAATTATGTTTTGGGGACCTTCGTTTTTGTCGGCTAGTTAATAATCTAAAGAGTTATTGCAATTACTTGTCTTAGATTCAATCACCACCAACCTTCTGGTTCACCTATTGTAAGTGAAAGAGTTTTTGGACGATAATAACACAAATTAACATGATGCGGTGTTTTAGGACTCTATGATGGTATTGCTCGATAGTCAAATTTGTGAGATATATTTGACAAGTAAATAATATGTGACATGTGTTTGAATACTCGTGACACATATGATATCCAAGGTGACACTCATTTGTATAATAGTAGATTAAACCTCCGTAAGGGAGATGAATCCCTAAGGAAACATGTGGTGAAAATGACGAGTTTATAAAATATAACACAATTTATACATATGGTAAACATGTGGTTGGGCTCGATGATGACATAGCTTACAAGATAAATTCATTAAATTTTTTGTTAAGACAAAACAAACCATATATATCATGGGTTCAAATCCATACAAAAATACAAATTCATATTCTTTGCTTCAAAATTCTAGTGATACTACTCATTACTTTTTCATATTTTATCGTTTGAACTACAATTTTTTTTTGTTAGGTAGGATGATATTATTTTTTTTAAAAATCAAGTGTGCGTGAGTGTCACAATCTAATCACCACAAGCTATTGTAATAGAAATTATATTTAACGTATTTATTCCAATTAATGAAGCGCTAGCAGTCGAGATAAAGATTGTCAATGAATATGCTCTAAGGCAAAATATTGAGAGGTTTGATTGGTAGTTCTTTACAAATTTGTTTTAATTATGTCTTTTTATCAGAGATTTTTATTTTTATACGCAAAAAATCTCCTATGTATAATAAAAGATTTGAGAATGCATTTTTTTTTGTTGTATTTATAAGTCAATGTAAGAAACAATGTGAATTACAGAATTTTCATGGGAATTAGTATAGAAATTCACAGAAAACTTATTTTTGTGTAAATTTTCATACTAATTTTTAGAAAAATTTTCATGTAATTCACAGTTTCTTATAGTGATTCTTTATAATATATCATTATAATTTACAACGTTAAAAAAACTTACATATATTTGTGTCATTACAAAATATAATTGAATATTTGTTTCTGTTATTGCTGATCATTTACTAGAATAATAAGTCATTTTGTTATAGGAGAAGAGTTCATTCAAATTAAAACTGAAATGTTATGTGAGTTGTTGAATTTATTTTGTAGATTTTTTATACTTTTTTTAGATTGACTATTTAATTTTTTTTTATATTTGATCAAATTTAAGAGAGAATTTTAATAATCTTTCGGCCGTTTTTTGTTATACCAGCTTTGAAAAAATAACAGAGCCTCACTAGTCATATACGAGATCTCTGAGTTAATTCTAATGAATCATGCTAAAACTATTTTATAACAATATCAAATTTTTAACCTATTTTTCAAATATGATAAGCAATAATCTCTTCATAAATTTTCATAGATGAAAATTATTAAATTTAACCTGTGAAAATAGAATCTTTATCTTAAAGTTTATAATATAAAAAATGGTAATGGAAAATGAATTCCATTCACAAGAGAAAAAAGGTGTAAAAATGTGAGACATCAAAAGAAACTTGGGAAAAACTAAAAAAAAATAGCCATAAGTCAAGAATGTGACTGAATCAAACAAATCAAATCTTTAAAATACTTGTAAAAATAATTTTTAGCAAATCAATTTTTAAATATTATCTATTTGTTGTGGATTAGAATATCAATGGTTTCGTTATATTGATTTGGAATTTACAAAGAGAATGAATTTACAAAGAGATTTTGAATCTCTTAGCATTCAAGAGGAAGAGTCTATCATCAAGTATAATTACAAGATTTGATAGGATAAGCTTGCTTTGTGAGAATTTCAAAAAATACTTGAATTTATTTTTAATGATAATTCCACAGAGATTTGAGTTCAAAGTTTATTTTATAATAGAGTCTAAAAATCTCTCTATTATTTATATAGTACAATTGATAAATACTTTTAAATCACAGAGACAAAGAAGTCTTCAAATATTATCGAGGATACATTTTATGCACAAAAACAAAAGAAAAAATATTGAAGAAAATCTATGTGATATGTAAAAATTTCAAACAAACATGTCATGTCATGAAAGTGTACGATTCAATGTCGCTCAAACAATCATCAAACACAAACAACAAAAGCAAAAATTGAGGTGGAATAACTTTATTATACTACAATATACAGTTGAAAGAATGTAGTTTTTTTTTTTGGTTTTCACCCTAGTGTTCGGAGCTCACATTAGAGCTCCAACTAAATTTGGATTGCACTCTGCAGATCCCATTCGCGGGTGACGCTTCTAACATGATTTTCTCCATACTCAGGGTTCAAACTCCAAACCTCTGATTAAGGGCGAAAGAAAAGAGGGTTCAATATTTGTTTTTTTACTAATTTACTGGAACAATAAGTAATCGAGTTATAAACTAATAAAAGGAGTCTTTATTTTAGTTTTGTTCGATAAGTTTAACTCATTTAAGTGTGATATTAAGGGATTTTGACTATATTGTATAAAAAATGTATTAATAAAATATGCTAAATTAATTAATTGATTAATTTAGAGAGACGTGCACTAGCTCTATAGTGTTTCATGATAATTAAAAAAAATCTATACTATTTCATGGGTCCTCCTTATTCTTCTTGTTTATTTAATTTTTTCCTTTTTTATGGGGTTATACGTTGGGGCCTTGTGGGGTTAGGAGCAATGCGATGTAGAGAACAGTGGACTATAGCAAAGGCTGAAAACCCTATACATGTATCATGTGGTTTACCTACTGTTCTAGCTTCTACACAATGAAAACAACTAATTATATGATGGTAGCCAAACAAAGATCATGAGGTTCATAAGCTAGTCAAGTATATGACGTGGCAAGAGGAGTTGCTCGTGTGGTAAGCAGTCAATACCTTTCACTTTCACCCTGAATATTATGAGTTCGACTCACCCAAAAAAGTGAGAGTTCATTCCAACTTGAATATTATGAGTTCGAGTATTTAATGGAGCAAAAAGGTGGGAGCTGGTTCCAACCTGAATATTATGAGTTCGAGTCACCAAGGAAGTAAAAAGGTGGGAGCTGGTTCCAATCTGAATATTATGAGTTTGAGCCACCAAGGGAGCAAAAAGGTGGGAGCTGGTTTCAACCTGAACATTATGAGTTTGAGTCGTCAAGGGAACAAAAAGGTGGTTGCTGGTTCCAACCTGAATATTATGAGTTCGAGTTACCAAGGGAACAAAAATGTGGGAGTTGGTTCCAACATGAATATTATGAGTTCGAGTCACCAAGGGAGTAAAAAGGTGGGAACATACATTGAAGTTTTCATTCACTACAACAAAAATAACTTTTAGCGGCGATAAATATTGACATTAATAAAAAGTGCTAAAGTCTTTATCGACATTAGTTAAGTGTCATTAGAATTAATGTCGCTAAAGACTTTAAAGACATATACAAAGAATGTTAAAATCGCTTAAAATATATATTTAACAGCACTTAAGAATTAATTTTCGCTAATGATATTTTTTATGTGGTGATTTAACAATAGTTATATCGACAATCAACTGAATTTGTCTTCCTTCTCTTCTCCTTCCTGTCATATAGACATGTTGCTTCACACAAGACCTTTTTTTTTATAAAAAAAAGTGATTTTCTTTACTGCGTCCCTTGCTCTTCAAGTTGCCTTAATTAGCTTAGAAATATTAAATAAAATTATAGTACTAATGTTTGATCTTTACTCAGATTTTTGTGCCCTTTTTGATAAGTTTCTTTCGGCTATACATTTATAATATTGAAACTTGTCAGCTTTGCAGCATATATTAGGTAAAGAAAAATGTGGTCCATATGAACAAAAGTCTGAAATCGTATGTAAATAAGTAATGCATTTATTTATTAATAATAATAAAGGACCACTTTTTATATATATATAGCAACAGATTCTAACTTGAGAATCTGCTTTTACAATGACATGCCAAATAGTTTTATATATATATATTGACCATTAAACAAATCCCATATGCCATGCCATGCCACATTTTAGGACTTATAGGTAGTAGATAGATAGATAGATAACTATGACTCAATACTCAATATCCATATTATAAAATGCTAACAACAAGTGTTTTTGAGTTCAAAGAAATAAACATATAGAAGATCGAGGGTTATCACAAAACCCTAACAAGTTCAATTTTATTATATCAAATCAAATACTTCCTCCTCCATGGATATGTTGATGATGATCTCCGGTAGAGTTTTGATGATCATTCCAATTAGGGTAAGAATTCGAATACGGTATCGGATAACTAGATGTTTGGTAAAAACCTCCACCACCACCAGCTCCGACATCATGATGGTATTGTCTTCTAGTAAATTCAACCGATCTTTGACGTAAAATGGTATTCTGATGAACAGGTAAAGGTGGAGGAGCGGTGGAGGAAGTGAATTCATTGCAAGCATAGCGGATTAAGTCCGCATTAGCCGCGTCGAGCTCCTTTTGAAGGCGCTCGACTTGGCGTTGTAGGAAGGAGATTGCGCCTACGCAGCCGTAGACGGGGTCTCTAACCCTAGCTTCGGCTTCGTAAGCTAAAGAATTAACGGCGTCTTCTCGTTGGTTTGGATGGAGTTCGTTGAGAAGCTTAGTGACATTGCTAGCACCGAAGATTTTGTGGACATTGATGAATTTTTGTGGCTCTTCAGGTGGGAAGTAAGGTGAGAAAATGCAGCCAGGAAGACATTTTCTTCTTAGGAACTTGCAAGCAGCACAAGGGGAGTTGTATGAGCTTGATGATGCCATTGAATCCTTCTTTTTAACTAAGCTGCAAAATATCGAAATATCAAGTAACTAAATCTCTTCTTGTTCTTTTTTATGTTTAAATATCTCGTGAAAATTACTTAATTAGTATTTTAATAGTTTAAACCTGAGATCTCGCAGTTTTTTTAGTCTACTCTCCAATTTGGGATTTTCATAATTTTTTTTTAGAACTGGAAAACAAAGAGGAACATTTCAGTTTTGAGTTAACATGTTTCTTAGGAAAATTGGAAATCTATGCACCCCTCTAATTTGTATGAATTCAATTGAACTCGTTGTTTATTATAGAGTATATAGTATGAGAGAGTTCAATAAATATTAGTTTTTGAACCATATATTCATGAGATATACAGTGAGTTCGTGTTAAGAACTTTAAAAATTGAATTGATCCAAGTTCAAATCATGGATCCACATCCATAAATTAAAAGTGTAAGTTCAAAATGAATTCTATTTTTGGTCTTATGTCCACTGCTAAATTTAGCTAATTATATGTTTTGTTTGTTTCCTTTTAAATTGATGTTTTATCCCAACTAACTAATTATTTCTTGTTTTATAGTTCATATGACTCAGAAACACACTGCATGCTTTCAATTATTTGTATCATCCAGCTAATTACTAGAGTCAGTAATTTTCATGATCCTGAATTTGGATTTTCCAATCGAATTAGTGATATATCCTTTTGAATTTTGTTAAACATAAGATCTAAAAAAATTGTTCTTGAAATCTTATTTCAGTAAAAATATGTTCTTCTTTTTTCTTCAAGAAAACCCTAAATCAAGAACTGTGACACCAACTAATATAGCCAATATTTTTGTGTACCTTTAAGAAAAAGAAAAAAAAAGTTTTAGGCCAAAAAAAAAAAGTGCTAGTTACTCTATTTTTCTGATCTAGGTATATGTTTGATGAGATGAAAGAAAAAATGGAATTAATTAATTACCTTTTCTTTGAAGAAGCTCTCCTTGAGATCACAACTTGGCTCTTTATTTCTTCAATCAAAGTAACAAAAACAAAGTACAAAACATTAAAACAGTAGCAATATTGAAAAAAAAAGAAGTGAAAGTTAATTCACAAGTAGAATAGTTACTAGCCCTTTAAGGGGGAAAACCCTAATTGAAGAAGAGAAGAAGTTTAGGTTTGTCCCCTGCAAATCTAGTAGTAGTAGGAAAAAAAGTTATAAATAAAGAAAAAAAGAGTGAAGGGGCAAAGGGGATATTAGTGATGGAGAAGGAATGAAGGCAAAAGACAAAGAAGGGTAATAATTAAAATAGAAGGTACACTAGGGGAAAAATATAAAAAGATGACTATGTCCCATGACTCTCCCTCTAATAATAATTTCATACTTTTGTGTGGGGATATATGTATCATGTATGTATCTAAGTTTTCTTTTTCCCTTCTACCCTATTTCTTTTTTTCTTTAACGTATGTATATTAGTTTTCATCCTCTTTGTTCCCTTTGGTAGTTCTAATTAGGTCATTTCACCAATAAATCCATGAAGAATATAGCGAAATGCGATGTTTAAGTGTGAATATAGAGTTTTTAAATACAAATTATGTCTGAAGTCATTAATGCCATATTTAAGTGTGGATATAGAGTTTTTAAACATAAATTATATCTGAAGTCATTAGGTCAAAGACACGTCTGTTTGAATGTCACGTATGCGGAAGAAAATGAAGATGTTTAACCAATTAATTGAGATTGAAGATACATGTGTTCTAACTATAATTGAAATGGTTTCTTATTTTCTGATTATGGAGGAGAAAGTCTTTTCGTTCGTTTTGTCTAAACTTATTGTCAATCACCAATCACTCTCTCTATGGATTTGACATGCTATATTACTTTATTGGCATTTAGGTGTTCGTGAAATATTTATACTATGAAATTGACCAGTTTGTGGTCACTCAATCACAATTTTTTTAAAATTCGAATTTGAAACGAATAAGAGTATAAACAAGCTTACTAGAGCAAAATTATATTGTTTGAGTTTACCTCGTTTGAAATTAAAGTGTTGTAACTATGACAAATAATATAGGACATCGTGGGATGTCACAATAAAAAGAATACGATTAGCTTGTTTTTTTTTTTAAGAGTTAATATTTTTTCTTTTCAGTATGTCCGAATTAATGATCAAGAGAGTGAGTATTTGTGAAACATGAGATTTTAGATGAAAATTTCAAATGAGAGTAATTATTTTCTATTTGTTTTACAAGTCTTGATAAAAAAAATTTTACCCTATATATACCACTGATTGCTTTCTTTTGAGGGAAATTTAATCGACAAATCAAATATATGTTTGGTATTTATCTGAAATAACAAAAGTTTATGAAAATTACGAGAGTTCGAATTTATTTGTTTTGCTCACTTGCTCTGTATATATACAACAAATTAAATATAGAGAAGATTGATACGCTGATACAATCATACAAAGCAAATTAATTATACACTGTATCACGAGTTTCAAAGTAAAATATTACGACATTGGTAAATAACCAAATTATTACTATGATTGATAATTAGGACTCCTAATGCTGCTAGCTATTCGAAATTTCTTTTCTTTTACTGCTAAATTACTTAATAGTGGTTCGATATGTGAATTAAATTGCTATTTCTCGACCGACTTATATCGAATTAATTTTTTTTTCCGAAGTAACTTTCATCAACTAGCAAATCAATTTTATATTTTTAATATTTATTACGTATTTTAAATTCGTTTGAATTCGAAGCTAAACTAAGAGATTAATTCCTACGTACCTAACCTTCTTATATGGTTCGATTCACTATAATTTTACAAAAAAAAAAAGGACTACTAAAAAAATACTAAAACGGAAAGATACATAAGAAAAGTATTTTTTTTGATTCTATATGTGAAACTAGGTCTTAGGCATAATTCACAACCCAAAAGATAGTTCAAAGGAGGAGGATTGTTCAATCCTTATAAGGAGTCCACCAATCTCATTAATCACTGATGTGTGACTTTTGTCATTCTTTAACACCCCACCTCACGTCCCGTGTTTAGCATATGGCGCGTGGACAGTTTTGATTTTGGGGGGTGACGGGTCTTGCTTTGATACCATGTAAAATTAGGTCTTAGGCCTAACTCATACCCCAAAAGTTAGCTCAAAGGGAAGAGGATTGCCCAAGCTTTATAAGGAGTCCACCCATCTCATAACCATCGATGTGGACTTTTGTCATTCTTTAACATTGCATCGGAGTTTGATTTAATTCAGATTTATCCTAGAAAAATATCATTAAAGATAAAAGACATAATATATATATTGGACCCTAAACTTTGACTTCAAATTTTAACTTTGATCTCCAATTTTCATAATGCACAAACAAACACTTTAACTATCCAACTTTTAAATAAATAAACACACGAGTCCTACATGGCACAATACACGTAGGACAAAAAATTACATGAAGAATGACATGTAGGACATGTGTCTATTTGTTCAATTTTATACAAGTTTAAGTATCTATTTGTGCACATCCAAATTTGGAGGGCATAAATATAATTTAAAACCAAGTTAAATGACAATTTATATATTGTGTCAGGATAAAAAATAGCATCATGTATCAGAAGACTCGAACCCGACACAAGGAGTGGAGTTTTTCTTTTCAGTGACAACTTACATGCTCTAAAATGTTCTAACCGTAAGACCCACTAACTGGGGGACCGTTTGGAAAATAATTTCCTTATGAAACCAAATCTTTTTAAAATTCTTTGGAGATCTGAAGATGGTAAAGTCAATTCAATATATTTGACTTGAAAGTTTTTAAAAAATAATATTTAAGGTAAAGTGGAATTTGAAAAAAAAAATAACTGACACACTCAAGAAAGTGAATTTTCGTTAGATTCTTATGTAAAAAAGATTAATTATCTCTAGAATTTTTAACCAATTATAGGTAAAGTTTCATATTTTGGAAAGAATCTGCTTTATTTTATCTTTTAATTTTCATCAAATCCACAAAAGTTATTTCAATTTCAGTGGTCGATCATGGTTGTGTCCTTAAACCTTATTTTATTTCTTAGAAAACACAGCAGTGGCTAAAACGGGAGATTTAGTTTTATAGCCTTTTACAAATTTATTTTTAATTTTATGTTAATGTTTATTTTTACACGTAAAAATCTGAAATGTTCATTTTTTTTTAGTTCAATTTTTTAAGTGACACGACAGATCACCTCATCGATTAAAATTGGAATGATCATTTACTTTGTTGTTTTGTTGTCAATTGTTATTTTTTATATGTTTGAATGCCAAGTGTACTACTAAAAAATCACTATTTTTGCATTGAAATTTTCTATTGAATACTTTTTCTAGTGATTATTTTTATAGATATTTTGATTTAGTCGGTAAGAAATAAAAAATAGTCAGTAGCTTATTCTTAGTATTTCAAAGAAAATCTCTTTCCCACCTTATGTTTTTTCTAGTGAGCTAGTTTGGTGGAAATAAATTGAAAAAATCATGTTTTATAATATAAATTTCTTATTAAGTCGCAGTGAGAAAAAATCTCTATTTCTAATAGTGACGAGTCTAAAATTTGAAAATGCTATTTATTGCTTAGTAAAACTTTGCACTGCTGTTGCTATTTATTAATCCTAGGCATCAAGTGATTGATATACAAATCTTAGCATAAAATGTGCATAACTTTTAAGCAACAATGGCTTAATTTTTTTAAAAGGCATACAAAAAGATTAGTTAAGTAAATCAAAAGTTTAAAATTAGGTAACTTTAATTTGTTTTAGGAAACAATAATTACAATAGAGTCTTTCAACTATCATTAGATCACCTGGAAGATAAAAAGCCTAAAATTTGAAAAATCATCACACTTTGACTCTGATCTAATACTTAACTAACTGCTAAATTGAATTAATTTTTCAACTAAAAGACAAACATGGCTTAATTCAAACTCAAGTTTGCCAAAATCATCTGAACAAAGCAGTCAATGATTTTATTGAATAAGCAAATTAAGTTAAAGCAGTCAATGATTTTATTCAAAAATTCTTTGGTAAATGCGTTATCAATGATTTTTCTTGCTTGTGTTTTATTCAAATTTCCTCCTAATAAACGTTTCGAAACTAAAAAATCGCGGGATAAGAATTTTTATAAGCAAATACTTCAAAATATCTAAGGAGATTCAATTTATATATACACTAGACAAACCCCTTGTACTTCTGGTTTGACTATCACTGTCAGAATATATAACTTACAACGATAATAAATTTTGTTTTCCTAGTTCAATTGTTCTTCTTTGCTTTTGGGCAGCCAAAATCATGTAACCACCATGCGCCTGGTTTACTGTGGTTACATTTGCAACGTTACTCAAGTAACAAATAGGTTAAAGAATAAAAAGAATTTTAGGTGCTCAGATAGCTGACTAACGAAATTTTCACTTTATTAGTGAAAGATTCGATTCTCTACCTCGTAATCATTCCCCTTTCCTACCCCAATTTGAAAAGGAAAGAATAAAGAATAGGTAAAAAATAGTTTCTCAATCGTAATATATATTGGTGACTAGAGGCTATCAATTATGCCATGAATCTAGCTAAAAGCCTAAAAGCAAAACAATAATTATTTTATTGAACAATTATAATATTATGATTCTTAATTTGCATTCGAAATGAACTTGGTAAAGGTGTTTGTATGTATGTATATTCCATTTTAAGGTTATGGCCTTTGAAAATTAAGATGCCCTACCCATCTATAATTAGGTCTCAATCAATGCTTCATAGTCAAAACATTCTTTGATGGGCCTTTTATTCCATACTATATTCTTTTTTCACAAGTATTATAAAGATAATTAAACTATTTTCTATTACGTAGCAGCAATTTTTTATCTATTAATAAAATCTCAATTTGCTTACTAGGGAGTCTGCACCTATTGCACGCCTCATCCTAGATTGTGGGCCACTATACGGACATACAAATATACGTTTGTATAAAAAAGAAAATGTTCATATGCCAATTAGGGCGGATCAGAGATAAGAATCGATGTGATATTGAACAAGGATTGCACGTGATATCTTAATTGAATAATCTCATATTGAGATGGAAAAGAAATTATGTGAAGAATTTTACAAAGGTATATCATAAGTTCATATGTTGCACTCAATGAAAACATAGTTCTTGAGTATAAAACTGAAAATACATTGTTATAAATTTGGATTGTGGTAGAAATAATAAATATGTAACTCACGCCAGAGAAGGATCGCACCGAGTAATTTAGTAATAAACATTATATAATGGATTTTACATCACTGGTTTCAAAGATTTTAAGGCCACTGGACCTTATTTGTCAACTCAATGCTGCTAGGGACGATAAAATTAACTAATGAAAAAAATGTCTCGCTTAAATTTGGGTGAGCTGAATAAGGCATAATTGAACAGAAGTAATACAAACTTTGTTAGATTATGCAAAGTATTTCTAGTTTTTCAGTTGGATAAAAGTGTTTTTGATAGAGTTTAAAAAGAAGCATATAAACAAATAATTTACAATTGTTATTTTATTGAGACAGAATGTCAATTTTTTTTTAGATGAGTCATTCAATTATTGAAGAAGAAATTTGGGACTACAGTCTACAAGGATGCACCTTGCATGGATCCTCTAAAGTCCAATTAGAATCCAATACATAACATTGTTAAAATAGCCCAATCCAGCATCATATTATAGAAAGGCCCAAAATAGCTCCCAAATGTAGCCCATTAGGCCCACAACAGAAAAACCCTCCAATTCCTGACTAAGCCCATTTACTAGCCCATATTTTTAGTAGGAAACATATAAGTAATGTATTAAATTTTTCTCATATAATAACAACAAAATTTTGGAAAAATTATATACACACACATTTTATTTTACATAATCTCTTAAATTTTCAATCATTTTTAAAAAATCAAAAATATTCTCTCAAATTCATTGCTCTACTCTTGTTAATATATTTTTATTCCTTCTCGATCTCTGGTATATCTTCTCTTTATGTATCCGAATGTCTGCTAATGTATCTGAAAGTCCAATGATGTATTTGAATGTCCTATTCTTTTTCTAATCCATCCCTCCCCTCTCGATACACCTTCACTTCTGTATTTGAATGTATTCGAAATTCATAAATTTTTTAAAAAAAATTATAATTCAAAAAAGAGAAACAATATGAAATTTATTAAAATTATACTTAAAATTTTAACGAAGTACATGAATAATTCAATAGTTTAATTCTCAACAGTTCATTAAAATTGTGAAGATTCAAAGTCAGAGAGATCCAAATGCACACATATTAATTCACGATGACCAAAGTTTAAATTTATTTATACTCAAGGGACTAAGAGTGTTAATTATTATTTTCCCTTTGAAGTGTCGAAAATCCCTCAAAAAATAACAAAGAAACAGAGAGGCAGAGAAAAAGCCAAAATCGTAAAAACAGACTCTTTACTTTCAAACTCATCTCTCTTTCTGCTAAATCCATTTTTTTCATGCAAACTTTCTCATCAACATCTGTCACTCTTCTCCACGCGTCCATTCTCCTCTTCCTTTATATTCACTCCCACCTCCTTCCCCTTTTTTCTCATCCTCAATTCATTTTATTTTTATTAAATAAATTCAAATTCGACCTTCTCCACCACCGTCCATGGCTGAGCAACACTCCCGTACCCAGCAGCAGCAACAAATGCAACAAATTCACCCAACGGAGGCTATCAAAAGCCTTCTTCCCCAAAAAGGTCCTTCTAAATCTCAAATCCTCGCCGTCGTCACTCTCTTCCCTGTCGGTGGAGCTCTCCTCTGCCTCGCCGGACTTACGCTCGTCGGAACTCTCATCGGACTTGCCGTCGCCACACCTGTCTTCCTGATTTTCAGTCCGGTTTTAGTCCCGGCGGCACTGACAATCGCGCTGGCTGTCACCGGATTTTTGACGTCCGGTGCGTTTGGGATAACGGCGTTATCGTCGTTATCGTGGATGATTAATTATATGAGGAGAATGAGGGGAACAGGTGGAGAGCAGATGGAGCATGCGAAGAGGAGGGTGCAGGAAGCTGCAGGTCATACGGGACAGAGAACAGGCCAGAAGGAGACTAGTAGAATGCGTGATTGAGATTTGTTAAAATCTGGAGTACTCTTTTTAAAGTTCTGTGTTTTGTTAATCATAATTTAATATATGTGTATGTATTTATCTTTTAAGTGCTTAATGTTGCAGCCTCTTGATTTTCTAGTACTCTAATAAAATGCGTGAGCCTTTTTGTTTTTGGTATCTTCTTTTCGTTGAATGTCGATTTAATGACTAACATGGTGGAATTTTGGAGTTATGAAATGCACTCTTTTAATCAACTAACATTCACAATATAAATTAGGTCCATTAATGTATTAACTAATTTTTCATATCATAAATCATTTTTATATATACTACTATTTTTTAAATACAATATGTTACTACGAACCAATATTTGAAGAAATATTCCGATCTTCATATTCTATTTCTTCAAGTAACTTGATCAAAATGCTCAGACCTAAAAGCACAAAAACTTAACAGGATTAAAACCTTCGTTAAGTGCTTATCGTTATGCTTGGTGCTCTTTGCCAAATGTGTAATTGCGTGGGTACTTGATGGTTCCCTTGCTATGGCATATATGACTTGGTGATAGCATTGAAGTATTGATTGTTCAAATGGATGATTAGAAAGCTATTTGGAGACAAACAATGAGTTCAAATACCATTAAACAATTCAAAAAAACATTATTATACGCTAGTGATTCTTAAACCATAATGTCTTTTTTTTTCCTTTTAAATTCTTAATGTTGCTCAGATAAATGATTTTACTTCCACATTCTTGGATCTCCTTTGTATATCCTTTTCATATTTGATAGGTTCTGCTTGAGTCGAGGATTGATAGGTTCTGCTTGAGTCGAGGATATCGAAAATTACCTGTTTAAGGTTGCATATAGACCACCCTCTCCAAACCTCGTACGTAATTGTTGCTTGAATCTCCAGGAGTAACTACCTTCATATTGTTTATTATTTTCAGTTTGTGTTGCAAACTACTGAAGTTTATTCCAACGGGAAAATATGTGAATCCTCTTTTAGTCTTTTAGAAAAGGTTAAAAAGGCATTAAAACATAATTGTATCATTTCATTTAGACTAAATTAGCATCTAAATAGACATTTAAACTTACTTAAGATTAAATAAGTGGATACATAAATGAGATTTTAGTGGAGAGTTGTTTCTCCCTTTTAACAGAAATTACAATGCACAATTCAAACAGTAAAAACTTCTAATGGGAAACGACGAAAGACAAATTCAAAAATTCTAAACATTCTTCTACACAATGGAGATATTAAGTACTTAATAGAATAATCGAGGCGTAAACAAAGAAAGAGTCAACAATAAGATAAGTGTTCAATTGTCAAGAAATATTATCTTCACACATCGCTCATCAATATATTGATGAAGGATGCAAATCTTGGCAGAAAAAATGCACTCTTTGGAACTCATTATCCACCAAAGTTTCAAACCATATGCCAAATAATGTTAGAGCACTTCTTAATTATTAAAAGAAGTGCTATTTTACATCTCCAATAGTTCAAACGTATCAGAAGCACACAAAAAAGAACATCTTCAATGTCGCTAGCAACACATGGAGGAAAAGGAATTCAATGAAGAAAAATTATGCACAGGAAAGTCCTTTGCCATGAAGAGCAACCAGCACAAAAATAAAGGGAAGTAATCAAATCCAATGACAAGATATTCTAGGCACAACAAACATAATGTTTAGGTGGGGATTGCCAATAGAACATAAGGAGAACTCTTCAAATTCCTATCCCTACTTGGAAAATGTTCCCCAAGTTGATGTTTTTTTCGTCTATCTGATAGTATTTTCAGCTTCCCGGACCAAAAATAAAAGAGAAGGAAATAAAAAGGGGCCCCCCGTTTGCTTGAAATACCATAATCAAGGTTTCACATGCTCCCTAATGAACTTCTCCAGCTGAGAAATCTCACCGGTTAGACCAGAAGCTTCAGCAACAATTACTCTGTTATGGCATTGAGAAAAAGCAAATGGTTCTCCAGGTACACCAAGCGTATATTCATTAGAGATATCTGCATCAGACACGGCAGTTCTTGATGTACGAAGCTTGTCGCTGGATCAATAAGAAACAAACTAGTTATAAAGCAGAACACAAGAGATAGCACTTCAGTTTTGATGTTTTTGCAGTGGTTATGATTCAGTGAGCCACCAAGTATATTAGCAAATAAAGCATGCAACAAGATTTCATGTTTGGGAAGGTTTTCTAGGCGTAAGCTTGTTTAATGATATTACCAACAGTTTATAAAGAGTGTTGCTGTATATTACCAAAAGGAGAATAAAGCATGCAACACAGTATTCCACCGTGGAGAGGTAAATTTCAACTCTTCCGAAGGCGGTTCTGCCTTTATATGTATGTATACAAAGCAAATTGGTGTTAGCTCCATAATAAATGCATGTACAGTGTACTCTTACATTTCTTTCTCCAGCTGTTTTCTGATGAATTCTGTTGTATGTGCAGTTACTTTGTCAACCTTGTTGCAAAGGAGGAGTACTGGAACTTTTTTCTTGACCACACTTGCCTTTGTCAAGATCTCATATAAGTACCTTCATGCAAGAGGAATTATACAATGTAAAATTCCGTTGTGAGATACCAATACAAATTAACAACTGCCAATGTAAAGTACAAGCAGCAACAAATGATCAGTACTCTGAAGCAGGACGGCAGTTTGGTAAAAATTCCACCGAATCCACCACAAACACGACGCCAGCTGCTTGAGGCAGGAACTCATCTAGTTTCGGCCTAAGACGAGAGTGCCCAGGGACATCAACAACATGAACAGGCTTCAATTTCCCTTTCTGCAGCAAAACCAAAACAAGTCGTATGTAATGTGAAATTCCATTCACAGATGAAGAAATTCAGTAAATCAATTACCAAAGAAAAAACTGATCGACCATCAGCAATTAATAAGATCCATCTTTCCCTTCTAAAGGTATAGATCACAAGGATGCATGCAAAATGGTAGGGCGGAAAAGGGGAAACAAGATAAGACAATGTTCATTACCTTGTCTTCTTCAGAGTGTAGTATAAAACTGCCTTCATTTGGTTCCATTGACGTCACGGTACCCTGATGGGCTGAACCATCTCTAAGCTAGTATATGCAAGCACATCAAGATCAGAACAATTTAACTTTGAAAAGATTATATAGGTCACATGTCAGAGAGTTACCTGGTAAAAAAGATATGTTTTGCCGCTTCCACTTAGCCCAGTGAGTACAATGGTGTTAGATGCTGTACCTTTGAACAAGCGAACTGAAGGCAAAGAAGTAAACAAAAGGAAAATCTTCAAATTTTGGCCTCCAAAGAAAGTCAAAATAGATGAGCAAACAATCTAAAACTAATACATTAAGTCATTCATTGAGAATCATCATAGTGAACAGAAGAGTGATATAGAAATTACAAAAATGTGTGGCATTAAAGAGGACAAAAGAAGACAAGAAAATGATAGAAAGAGCCCACTAAGCCTAAAAACATTAACATAAAGAGCCCACTAAGCCTTAAAACATTTACATAAAGAGCCCACTAAGCCTAAAAACATTTACATTCTTCCCTTGAAATCAGTGGGCAAGGAAAAACATCTTTTTTTCTTTATGTTCTCCGGTAAGTTACAACAACTACACAAGTATACCACAGCAGTTCCAATTGAACTAATGCCAGAGGCGGAGCCAGGATTTTATATCTAGTTCTGGACCTTAGAACCATGACTTTAAGTGCTAACGAATGGGTTCTAAATTTATTGTGTGAGCAGCTTATAACCATTAAAACTCCCATTGTTTGCATCGGTAAATGAAGTTCCCAGCTCAACTGAAATGATACCTGCAAAAGGTAATTCAGTTCTTTAGTTTGGGGTAGATAATTTTAGATGGCTCCTACTAGCTCTAACCGCACGTGCAAGTTCCCCCGCATATGGCTAAGTGGTGAAGGCCCTTTCCTTCGCGCTTGGTAAGCAATTCATTCTAGCCAAGCTTACTGCTAACCTATCCAGTAAAGCCAAGCTTGCAGGTTTCCCTGCATGTAGCTCGTTTGCTATAACTTCTGCATATTTGTGTGAACTAGCAGACCGATCACTAAGTGGGGAAACTCCCTCCAGCATTAGGGAACCCTTTCGAACGGTTAACAATGAGCGCCATTATTCATGCCCAGTATATGTCACACCAACTAACACATCCAACGGCACACTCTTAGACGAATGAAATTCACTTCTCAAATGTAAATTACTAGCCATTCTGTAAAGAAAATTAGAAAAGAAAAACTCTTATTAAATTTGGTTCTTATCAACATACAAGAAGGCTCTTCATGAAAGATATCTGTAACTTCATGGAATATGATGTTTTTGTTTTATAAATAATTGAGTATGTTTAATTATGACATGCTCACTATGAATACTTTAATAATTAGCATAATGATTCTCAACTTTGAACAAAAACATAATGGTTAAGAATATTGTACATAATTATTCAATTCCTTTGCTTTTAACCCACCACTTAAAACCAGAGCAGAGTAACAAATTGAGTACTTATTCTGAAATACAAAACACTAAAAAGAAATGGAACATCAAACAGACAAGTGAATAATACACCAGAAAACTGAAAAACCACCCAGAAGAAAAGTGGTCACCAATTTCTCTCCTGAAAAGCACCCAGTACATAGAAAGAAAGTTTTTGCATTAAAACAGAAAAGAATCTGTTTTCAATCACTGGAAAAGGACACACATAAATACCCAGCAAAACATCAACATGGATCAAATTGGTTGCTGAAGAATGACGCCCAGAAAAGTTTCCAGAACAACAACTGGAACTTCAATTAAAAGGATGAGGACTTCTAAGAAGAGAAATTGGAGAGCCCAGGATGCTGCCCCGCTAGCATTCATGCTGGTCCTTCGGAAGGAAAGAAACAGAACAGGGTGTTGCCCCGCTAGCTCGGGGGAGAATGATTATTATATTTGAGGAATAACCTCTCATTTCTAGCTTCTTTAGGTGCACCCATGAAACTCCAAATTGTATAGAAGATTGTCTCCTATGCGGCAGATCCTCTTCTTTCGATATACTGCTTGTGTGAGAAAGATTATTCCACTACTTATCAAATTGTTTAACCTTATAAAAAGGAGAAGGGGAAGAATATTCTCCTTGGGAAGATGACTAAAAGTTCAAAACTCAGAGGACACAATAATTAGGTCTTGATCTATTTGAAGAGAATTAAAGAAGGGAGAAAAGATCTTTAGAGAACAAGTGATTGGAAAATCAATGTTCAAACAAATGACTCCACAATCAAACCTTGACACCATAAAGAAAAAATAAAAATGAAAGTATGTTCCCATAAATTCTGATAGAGAATTCAATATTTAGAGGAGGAACTGACCTTAGATTCATCATCAAGGGGCTTAATGAATCGTTTATTTGAAAACTGTAAGAACGATTTTAAACACGACAAAAAGAGTCAGCCCATCAGGATGATCACAAAAGGAGGTGCATCGGGAGCAATTACGAAACACATTATAATAATGCCGCTCGAATGATCAATAGAAGTAAGAGAGGGCCGCCACAACGGTCATTAGAAAGAGACATTTACAATAGTCATACTTTGCTTCATTAAACCTATGAAAACAAGAAATTCTAGAGGAACAAGCAGCTTAAGGCCTATCACCTAAAGGTAAAGCTACTGAATTCTATCAAAATTGTCGAGACGGTAATATCATAGAGAACAAGAAGAGGAGAAGATTTTTCCAGGAATGCTGAAAAATTGTCAGAAGAATGCTAAGGCAAGATGGTGTCACTGAATGATCCCCAAAAAGACACCCTAAAATAATCACCCGAAAGAGAGAAATAATGCACTCGTCAACAGAAAAAAAATTGGGCAGCTGATGGCATATAACCACTCGCTTGTGAGTAACAAACTCCAATACCATGTGGAAAAAAAAAGAGAGAAGAAAACAACACCAACATACCTAGTGTAATACTACCAAGTAGAGTCCGAATAAAAAGAGAGAAAAAAACGCTTACTGAATTTTGTTACTAGCAGTATAAAATAGGACTCATCATGTGGGAGGTTTAAGCTACATGAGATATGGGAATTTTTTTTTTTAAAAAAAAGGTATAAAATAGGACTCATCATAATTGTGTTTCCAATATCCTCCATTTTTATAATGATATTCGACTTAGTATAAATTTCTTAAGATATTCGAGAAAAACGGTTTGATGCGTGAAGATGTAACACATATATTCAAGTAGAATGGTAAAAATAGAGAAATACTACAGGAGTCTTGTGTTTTAAGGATATGTACACCAAAGTGAAAGCAAAAGTCCTACAAACGGTTGCGAGCTCATGTCCCAAGTTGACCTCCAAATATACATGACCCAAGGTGTTAAACCATAGTGAGTGTAGGTTTCAGAGGGAAGAATTAAATCCAAAATCACATGGAAAGAAGTTGTACTGGAGGACCTGTAAACTTTTGGAACCCATACATGCTTAGTGAAAAGTAGGGCAACTAAAAGAAAAAGATTAAAATTGGTGATACCAATTAGGATGTTTTAATCATATTTAAATGTATATTTAATCCATTGCTTTCTAGGAGTCTTTTAGTCCGGCCAGAGATATACATGCCAGTAGAAAAACAGAGAACTTCAATAGTCTTTTATTTTTAGTTTTGTTTTGAAGAAAATTGCATTGAAATGATCTTAAAAGGAGCAACATGAACCATTAGATATCATATATCCGATCCCAACATGTTCAGGAAATCAAGACATGGTTATTATTATTTTAATAAAAAAATTCCTAATGATAATTTTCCTATCGGAAACAGTCTTTCTACCCCACAAAAATAGGGGTAAGGTCTGCACACACCTTACAGTTCCCACCAGACCTCACTTGTGGTATTACACGAGAATGTTATTGTTGTTGCTATTCTTAATGATACTTTTGGTTTCTGCCAAAATAGTAAGAGTATACTACAAAACATGCTTAATGATTCATTTAATTATCTCTGCTTTACATACAAGTAAAGAAAAAAACAAGTCCTAAATCAGCTATCGAAACCCCAATTCTAACAAATGATGAGAAAGTATTGTAGGTTGATGGCTTGCAAAAAGAAAATTATTTTCTAGAAAAATAAGCAAAGTTATATGCTGATTGCTCAATGTCAACAGAAGATTCATATAACCAATCGCAACAAATTTGGAACTGAAGTGCAAATGACTAACAGAAAAGAGCTCTATTTTTGTAGCTTGACTAAGATATGCTGACTGAGCTATGTAATCAACATTTTGCTACCAAACAAAGGTCCTTCAATTTTCCATGTCAAACTCAGAAATCCGAAAATTCAAACAAATTCGACACACACATGAGAATTGAGAAACCAAATGAAATCTCTAACCCCAAGCGAAGTTTTAAGAGCTTACTGATTAACAACAAAATGAGAGTGGATAATACAACTCCAACAGCAACATACAGTTGAACAGGAGGTATATCATTGATGAATTTTTCAGCTTCATTTACCCATTGCTGCATTTGAATCTTCAATTGCTCCACTTGCTCCTTATCCATTTTTCCCCGAAAATTCTTCACTCAATTTAATCTTTCCCCTATGAATTACATAAAAACTAATTCCAATTAAATTACAAAAACAGATACAGATTGTAGTAGAACGTAAATAGAATTGAAAATCGTTGGAACCTTATTGGAACGGCGAAACCTCACTGTTTAACAGTACTTTATGTAAAAATGTCCAAAGACTGGCTTCATTTAAAATTGATCAAATGTTCGATCGCTGTTTAACAGAGCTTTAAGTATGGCTACTTCAGATGCAAACAGATGGTTACTACAGCTTTTGCTTGATAAACAATCATTGTATTTACTTGGCAAATCGTAAACTTAACCAATCGCTTAAAATTACCTCTTATATCGAAAGTAATTCTCCGGTTAGAAAAGAAATAAACAAATACAATTTGCATTTCAAGGGGACTAAATCCAAGAGTTTCCAACAAACAAAATAGGATCTAATTACATGAGTGTTGAAAGAAAACTACACAATAAGGTAGCCAAAAAGAAATTGAAACATGACAAGCTAAGATATGAATCCACATTAAGTGAACACGAAGTGAACCTACAAACAATAATTGAGGCAGAGTGTATCATTTACTAAACAAATATTTTCAAGTAATACAACAAATCTGACAAAGACTTGAAACTAATATTACTAATGAAACTAATACTAGTAATGTTTATAAGACAATGGCACGAACAGAAGAAAAAGAATGCCAAATAAATTTCCAAAATTTAACATCAGTCGACTCAAATGAGTAGACTCGCGAGAAGACGAAGTTTAACATCATTTTTGAAACCCATATAATCAACAATCAGATTCAATCAAATGGATGGAGAGGGTTAACGCAAGCAAGGAACTCATACACAAAGGACTCCACTAAGAAAAGAATGTGATAGAAGGCGTTGCAGAAAACTTAACTAAAATGCATTCCGAGTTCGAACAGAGAATATAACATGTTGAAATACTCAAGCCATGATAAGAGACGTACCAAATTGTCAAGATAAATGATATGACATGTTGCAACAACGAAAACCACATCCTTACTATATAATCTCAAACACAAAAAAAAAATACTGCTATCTTCAGAAATTTAGCTCTACAACAGAAAATAAAAGAAAGGAAAAGAGATAACCTCTTCCGGAGCAGCAAGACTGAGACGATAATGACAAGTGAGGTTAACTCGAGCAAGCAAAGAATCGATACCAAAGAAAAACAAGATCTTAGTTTTTTAGTAAAAATCTATTGTCTCCAATCCTCAAAAACGTTTCCTTAAATGGGAAGAGATGAGGCCATTTATAGGAGAAGCTTGTTCGATTTGGGGAAAATCCATTTTTTTTGAATTCTTCTGCTATTTTCGAAGCAACAGATGGGAAGTTCTGAAAAAAAAGGAGGATAAAGGGGACGTGAGGGCGTACTGTTGTACTGTTGAGGCGATGAAGACGACGTGTATAGTACGCCGTTTACTGTCGTTTCGCCGTTTGCTTTGTGGCTGATGTTGACGGGTCAGAGTCGCGGTTTTTGCCGGACTGATGCGTCTGGGGAAGAAACGTACGCTATTTCCGTTGAACACTGTTGGAGAAGAAGGACGCGCCCGGTGTTGGGGGTTCTGGGTCTCGCTGCTGTGAGGAAGACGTAGAGGGGTCGGGTCAGTTTTAGGCAGTGGGCTAAAGTTATGGGTTAAGAGGAATCTAGTAAAATCCCTGTCTCCTTTTACGTGGGCCAAAAACCAACTAACATTCACAATATAAATTAGGCCCATTCATGTATTAACTAATTTGTATATTTTGTTTCGGTAGACATATACAAAAGAATTAATTTGTATAATATGTGTTTGTATAAAGCGAGAAAGAGAGAAAATTGAAAGAGAATTGGACAGGGAAGATCTGTATTTGTATAATCATAAGTGTATAGGACGAAAATATATGTACTTGTGTTTATATAAAGTGAGAGAGACAAGCGGGATCTGGAATAGGGGAGAGAGGATAACAAAAAGATATGTATATATACAATTTTCCATACAAACATATTTTACGCATTTTTGTTTGTATAAAGTGAGAGAGACGAGGAAAGACTGCCCAGTGAAAAATGAGAGTTGCGAGAGAAATTCAGGGAGAGTGGCGAAAAGGCTACAATTTGCTAATTACAATCATAACATTCAATTGAATTAATAGTTTGATATTTTATACAAATTTTTTCTGAAAACCTTTATATATATAATATTTTTTAAATAAAAATATTTTACTACCAACATATGTTTAAAGTAAAAATTCTGAACTTCGTATTATATTTCTTTAAAAAACTTTGATCAAAATACCCATAATGTATACATCTAAATGAAGTAAAAACACTTGTAATTTTTTTAACTGTGCAATGGTTGTGCCATATCTCTGCAAAAAGTGCGTGCGCAAGTATGATGAAAATATATTTGAGTAAAGAAAATATGAAGTGTACTTTTAGATTTAAAAACTAGCGAAAGTATATTTGCGAATGATATTAAATACGTTAAAGATATTATTAATCGTTTATTTCGGATAAAAATAATTGCAACGTCTTTACAAAATTCATGAGATTTAGTACCAATTGGACATACTATTTAATTATTATTATTATTATTATATTTCAAGTGTATTCAATTGTTTAATTCAATTTTGAATCGAAGATCTAAACAAGTAAAACCAAAAAGTGATCTTCATATTCTTTTTGTTTAAAAACACTTGATCATAATGTATACATATAGAATGAAGTAAAAATAATCATTTTGTTTTAATTGCGTGCAACAATTGTGCCTTATTTGAGCAAAGAGTGTGTATGCAAAGAGGAAGCAATGGGGGCCAATCTTCTATATGTTTTTACATTTCAAAATATTTCTTAATATTTTGACGCCTATTTTTTCTTCACTAAAATTTTATAATATTAATTCAAAAATCTTCGAATAAACTCGTTATAGTCTTCCTCATGATCTATCAAACTAGACCTTAGAAAATTTTCAGAATCATCTTCATGCAAAAGCTACGATGACAAGATAAAAGGAGTGATCAATGGATATTATATTAAACTCTCAAATTTTACCTTATCATATGTTCTAATAATTTTAGAGATATATACATAATAAAAATAAAATAAAATATGAAGTGTATTTTTAGCTTAAAAAAACTAGCGAAGGACTTGCGAGTCATGTTATATTATTAATTTATTTCCTATAAAAATAATTTCAAATGACCTTGCAAAATTTATGAGATATAATACCATTTGGACATAAAATTTAATTATTGTGATTTTTTAAAAGACTTGATTATACATAGTAGTCAACTGTTTAATACAATTTGGAATTGAAGGTCTAACCAATTTTGAAGTAAGAAATTTCGATCTTCATGTTCTTTTTCTTTCAAAAATTTGATCAATTGATGATAATATATACATGTATAATGAAGTAAAAATACTTATTTTAAAAAATGTGCAATCTATTCATTTAGAGAATGTTTTGAGTTACAAAAAAATTATACCGATTGTATTTTTATGTTAAAAAACTAGCAGAGGACGTTTTGAGCCATATTTAAGGACATTATTGGTCCTATTCCGTATAAAAATATTTTTATTAAATACAATAAGGACATCATTTGGACATATAATTTAACTAATGTATTTCGATTTTTTTTAACCTTTTATTTTTTTAGAAAAACTTGATTATACATTACAGTCAATAGTTTAATTCAATTTGGAATTGTAGTTCTAACCACTTTTTCAAGTAAAAAATTCCTGACCTTCATTTTTTTTTCTTTCAAAAACTTGATTAAAATGCTCACAATGTATACATGTATAATGAAGTAAAAATATATTATTTTAAAGACTGTGCAATCACTGCAATGGTTGTGCAAAGAATGTGTAGGCCAAAAAAAAAAATAATGGGGGGGAACTTTTCGATATATTTTTATAGAGATTATATTCATTTAGATGATTTTTTTTTTAAATTATAGAGAGCAATCAAAATATTTCTTTTAATATTTTAGCTTTGCTTACTATTACAAATCGAATAAACTCGTTAAAGTTAGAGTCGTCAACATGGGCTAGGCCTTGTTGGGCCGATCTGGCCTAACTCGAGATTTAATATGGTTGTTGGGCTGTATTTTTGAAGCCCATTTGGGAAAATGGCTTTTTAGCCCGGCCTGAATAAGCTTGCTGATTTGTGGAGCTTGAGAAATATCGGTAAGACCGGTTCGTGGGTCGATAAAAATAAATTAAAATATAATGTAATATTAAAATTTAAAATTAAAGAGAGTCCAAACTCAAAACAATTAGATTAATATTTCTATTTAGATATTTATATTCTTACCTGAAAGAAAACTTAATAAGTATTATAAAAATAATTTTAATTGTGAATTTGATTAAAAAGTAATAACATTAACATCATGTAATATTGTTTTATCGATATTTATGATAATATTTTTAAATTATAATTTATAATTTAGTTTAATAATTTTAAAAATAATATAATTTTTATAAAAGTGGGCTGACCCAACAAGTTTGTAGCCCACGTGCTTGTGGGTTGGACAAATCGTTTTCTGGCCCACACAAAAAATGGGCTAGTCCAACCTGATCCATAAAATGTTTAAGGCTGTATTAATTAGCCCGAATAAAATGGGTTAGCCCATATTGACAGATTTAGTTATAGTCTTTCTCGGGACCTATCAAACTAGCCTTTACATTTTTTCCCATAATCAAAATATTATTCCCAATCTCTGGTCAAAAATATCTTGTGCTTCTTTAGAAAACTTTCACAATTATTTAATGCTAGTACAAATTTCTACATCTAGTATACATAACATTTATATAAGTTTGTTAAAATTAGTAAACTACTTTACTTGCAAAAAAAAATAAAAAATAATGAGATGTTACACAAGCTTAAAAAATAATACTTATTTTAAACTCCCAAATTTTATCATATATATCATCTGATCTATTAGTTTTAGAAATAGATTTGAGCTAAAAGAAATACACAAAGAGTATTTTTATCTTTAAAAACTAGCGAAGAATATTTGCAAATCATTTCAAATATGTTAAAGATATTATTGGTCCTACTCCGTATAAATATGATTTCAATGTTCAAACAAAATTTATAGACACTCAGTATTGATTTGAACGTACAACTTAATAATGTATTTTGATTTTTTAACAGTTTATTTATTTTACTTTTTTTTAAAAGAAAAAAATGATTATACATGGTAGTCAATTATTTAATTCGATTTGGAATGAAAACTTCATAAAATTTATTAAGGAACAATTTTTCAATAAACTTGTTATAGTCTTCGTCGTTACCTATCAAACTGACCCTTTGCTTCTTCCGAAAACCTTTTCAATCTTTTACTACTAGTATGAATTTAGGGCGAACCTCATAAATCACACTACTTTATGTCTTAATTATTAATATTTCTAATAGTTTCACATATTATTTTTTCTACTATATTTTATGCTTAAAATACGTGAATTAAAATTCATGAGGTACATGTATCTGTCCAATTTAAAATTGAGATACAAAATTTATTTATTTAAATTTATTGGTTGTAACTGATTTCCTTAATTAGAGGAGTAAATGAGGATTTTCAAAATACATAGATAATTAATTTTATTTAATTATTATGGTAAATTCATTAATAATAATAATAAAAAAAACATGTATATCTTTGTAATGTCATTTGGAAAATTTCAAATTAGTACTCTTAAAATAATAAATTCATTAATTTGATATATCTATTATCAATATATGATGTATCCAATAAACTAAACATTTAGATACATGAGTATCATACAAGTGCAATCATATGTATCATAGATTTATCTAGCATTAATTTCATATATTTGTTATACGTATCTAGTATTAATTTTATGCATCTATTTATGTATCTATTATTAATGTTATATATCTATTTATATATATATAATATTAATTTCATGTATCTTTAATATGTATCTAGTATTGATTTAATGTATAATGTATCAATTGCGTATGTTACATCCAAACACATGTATCTCGAATACATAGTAAGCATATACATCTAATTATGTGTATCTAAATTCATATGTTATATCCAAAAATATGTATTTCAAATACATAATACACATACATTTAATTATGTGTATCTAAATGTGAAATGTAGTTGAAACACATGATTTAGGACAACCATGATTGTAGAGTATGTGTCGTATCATTAATATCATCGTGTTGTTGAAAGTCATGTATCCAAAATTTAATGGTGGATACATATACATGTTCATATACCCCATTACTAAAAATAAAACTCGAAACTTAACTAAAATTACTTATTATTGAATGCACATATTTCAAGGGCTATATCAAAGCAATCTTGGTACTACCACATCCATGACACAGTAACCAAAAAAAGTCTTATAAGAACATTAGCAGACAAAAACTCTCTACAATAGTTCATTTGATCCTTTTGCGTTGTGACATAATATAATCAAATCTAAGATTCATTTATTTCGGAGACAAACAATCAAGATCCACTCTGAATTGAAAGTTTTTTCTGTGGTCTCCTTATAAATGAAGCATACATAATAATATTTGGGTTTATGAGAATTTATCGGCAATGATGACGATATCTTGAGAAAAAAGAGTAGAATAGCTATTGTTAAAATGAAATTGTATGT